CTTGCCTGGTTCCTGATCTGAGTGGAAATGATTTCAATTTAGCTCCATTCAATACAATATTGGCTGTGGGTTTGCTGTAGATGGTCTCTATCAATTTGAGAAATGTCCCTTCTATGCCAATTTTCTTAAGTGTTCTGATCATAAAGGGATGCTGGATATTATCAAAAGCTTTTTCTTCATCAATTGAGAGTATAATATGGTCTTTGTTTTTTTAATTTATTTATGTCACAAATTACATTAATAGATTTACGTATGTTGACCCAGCTTTGAGATTCTGAGATAAAACCCACTTGGATGTGGTGTATAATTTGTTTGATGTGTTGCTGGATTCTGTTTGTTAGGACCTTGTTGAATATTTTTGTATTGATATTCATTAGATATTGGTCTATAATTTTCTTTTCTTGTTGGGTCTTTTCCTGGTTTGGGGATCAAGGTGATGTTTGCTTCATAGAATGTGTTGAGTAGTATTCTGTCTTTTTCTATATTTTGGAAAAGGTTAAATAGTATAGGTACTAGTTCCTCCTTAAAAGTTTGGTCGAATTCTGACATGAAGCCATCTGGTCCTGGGCTTTTCTTTTCAGGGAGATTTTGTATAGTTGATGCTATTTCAGAACTTCATATAGGCCTGTTCAATATTTCCACTACCTTCTGGCTAAATCTTGGAAGGTGGCATGCTTCCAAGTATTGTTCGATTTCCTTCAAATTTTTATATTTCTGGAAATAAAGTTTCCTGTAGTATTTATGCAGGATTTTTTGAATTTCTGAGAGGTCTGTTGTTATTTCATCTTTACCATTTCTGGTAGATGAAACTAGAGATTTTACTCTGTTTTTCTTGGTTAGGTTGGCTAAAGGTTTATCTATTTTATTGACCTTTTTAGAAAACCAACTTTTTGATTTATTGATCTGCTGTATGATCCTTTTATTTTCAATTTCATTTAATTCTGCTCTAATTTTGGTTATTTCTTTTCTTCTGCTGGGTTTCGGATTGGAGTGTTCTTCCTTTTCCAGTTGCTTGAGCTGTCCTATTAAATTGTCAACTTCCTCTCTTTCCGTTTTCTTGAGGAAGGCGTGCAGTGCAATAAATTTCCCTCTTTGGACTGCCTTTGCAGTATCATAGAGGTTCTGATAACTCATATCTTCATTATCGTTTTGTTCCAAAAATTTGGTAATTTCCTACTTGATCTCGTCTCTGACCCACCTATTATTCAGCGTAAGGTTATTTAGGTTCCATGTTTTTGTATGGGTCTGCAGATTCTTGTTGTTACTGAGTTCAACTTTTATCCCATAGTGGTCAGAGAAGATGCAAGGAATAATTTCAATTCTTTTAACTTTGCTGAGGTTTGACATGTGACCTAAGATGTGGTCAATTTTGGAGTATGTTCCATGTGCTGATGAGAAAAAGGCATATTCAGCTTTATTAGGATGAAATGTGCTATAGATGCCCATTAAATCTAAATGCTGAATAGTTAAGTTTAAATCCAAGATTTCTTTGCTAAGCTTCTTGTTGGAGGATCTATCCAACACCGCCAAAGGAGTATTAAAATCTCCGACCATGATGGACTGTGAGTAATCAAGTTGCTCATGCCTGCTAGAGTGCCTCTTATAAATTGAGGTGCATTCCGGTTGGGTGCATAACAATTGATAATTGAAATTTCATTATATTGAGTATTGCCTTTGACAAATATAAAGTGACCATCCATATTCGTGGTCACTTTTCTGGTTTAAAGCCTATTGTATCTGCAAATAAAATTGCAACACCTGCTTTTTTCTGCTTTCCATTGGCCTAGAATATAGATGACCGTCCTTTCATCCTGAGTCTTTATTTGTCTTTTAAGGTAAGATGAGATTCTTGTATACAGCAGATATCTGGCCTGAGTTTTTGTATCCAGTCAGCCAGCCTGTGCCTCTGT